ACACCCAACGCTACCAGTGTACGAAGTTTCAGCCGAATCTGGCAGATGCCAGAGGCTGGTGTGCAATTTCTTCCCTCGAAATTCTTCATTCGGGTTGGACACGTTTCCGAGCTTATTTGGCTGGCTCTCTCGTTGTGCCAGAGCGTCGAAACTGGAACGGTGCTCGATTGAAACTTATCTGCGACAATGCAATCTGAATACACCGGTGACGTCAATGCTCCGTAAAACGCGACACTCCGGCTTACGAAACGAGTTGCAAGCCTCTTTTCCTCGTTCTTGCGGCGACGTGGTGGCCGAAGGCTACGAGGAAAGATGTAGGTGCGTAATTTGTTGTTCGTCACGTTCGTCGGTAACAAAGAAATTCGATACTTCTCTTTCTTCACGTTTTCGAGTGAAAGGAGAATAAAGACATAGTCGATCGTAAATAACAAAGTCAATTTAATCGAAATCGAAGACCGTCGGATCTATTTGAATCGAAATACCCAGTCCCGTGCCAGGACTCTCTGATTGTGAGAAAAACGAGAAAAACACTTTGCCTCTTCGAGCAAACCAAAATTGAAACAATCGAATTTTATTATTTGAATAATTTTAACCATAAATGTTCATGATGTCCCTTTTGAGAAGTCGATTTTTTCCCCATACGAAGCGCACCAAAAATAAAATAAGAACAAAAATTTTAGACTATCACTACTTGTATCAAACCAGATATCTAAAAAAAAAAAAAACGAGCTCAGTGTTCTCATTAAAAAATTTTTTTAATTAATATAAATATATTTTTCTAATCAATGTGTTGTTTCGCTATAAAAGTTGTTTTCGATATCCAATATGAATAATAAAGGTTAGGTCGAAGTAATTTGTAAACTATGTGCGACCCTCGACAAATTTTTGTTGGCTAGTGAGGCCCAAAAGATCTGAAAGATTGGCATAAATGAATCGCCATTGGAATTCGAGACAAAGTAGACCGTAAAATCGAATTTCGAGCGTAACTTTCCTCAAAAGGAACAGATTGTCTCGTTTCGCTGTTTACAAAGAGACAATTGCATCAAAGACAGCTCGTTACACGTGCTTCGCGTATTTTATCTTGAGCTGTGATTGTTCGTATTCGATCGATAAATATATATCGTGTACTCCTTTACCGACTTTCTCCGAAAAACCGATCAAGTACAATTTTTATCCTGTGGTAACTTATAGTCTGTCTGTTTCAATGGCGTTTCGATCGAGTAGAAAAATTTTCCAAACAGGATGAAATGTTCTTCCATCTCTTTTTCTTTACAAAGTACAACAGTATGTAAGAATTTTTAAAACATTTAATTTTCACGTAGCCCCGAAGGCAGAGAATATTGGCGCTATTGTGAAATACCCTACTAACAATAGGATTAAAAAAACGACAGTTTTATTGTTCGAAACTACTGTCGCTATAATCAGTCGTATGTACTGACTCACGGCTCTTAAAATGATACAAATAAAACCTTCCAAATCGATCTCGAAAGGAACCAATAAGAAATTAAAAAGTTAACATGTACTAGGGGTACTCATAAGTTTGATAGTGACAATAATTTAGCTTATTATAACATAACCTATATTCTTAAATATATTGACAATTAGCGTGTTTATTGTTAAACCATATTATTGATTAAAACTGTATTAACACTTAAATAAAATAAAATTTTGCACAGTATCAAAAAACGACATTACTTTATAGGTAGCCCTAATGATATAAATTTTAACCCTTTGTGTTTAAACGAATGTACAGTTGAAAAGATGGCGTATTTTTCTATTAAAAATTTCAGAATATTTTCCTTTTTCGTCTTATTTGTAGCGAGTCGCCGTAGTTTGTCGTCCTCACTGCGAGCGATAGTCATTGCGGCAACGCGATATAATTCTCCTCGATTGCCATGTGGTTGTTCACTGTGATCAAACACGTTGGCCGGTTAAGCACGATGCAAGAATATGTACATACGCACGCATATTCATCGGAACAGTTGAAGAAACAGCTACGATTATTTTTATATCTAATCGACACGTATGTACGTATTATTTTCAAAGATAAAATTCCAAATAGATAGGTTATTATTAAATAAGTAAAATTTATTAAATATGCACATAATTAATAAAATTCCACAAAATGTATATAATTGGTAAAATAGCAAAGTTCTAATACAATTGAAGTTAAAATTATTGAGCTAAAGTCTTCGATTTTTTTTTTTTTTTTTAGAAATACAGAACTGAGCGTGTTGAAAGAATTATTTGAAAGAATTATTGAGCGACACAAAAGGAAATTGTCTGTTCGTAAATTTTATTTTCTTTGTTGACGGAGTGAGTCACGCTGATTGGATTAGCTGGAATTGATAAATTCAGTATAATAGTTTAGTATTTCGTATAATATTATTCAAAACTAGTGACTTCCAGGTACAAGGGATAATCTCGAGTGAAGCTCAGCGTGACTCAGCCGTGTGACCGTAGCAGCAATAAATTTTATGAGGAGCTATGAACTTATAAAACAGTCTTCGAAATAAACTCTAGAAAATCCCAAAATTCGGGCGAGAATTTTTGCAAGAATCATGAAAATGAACGATGTCCTCGCAAAATTATTGCTGTTCAGATAAGGGACGGTTCAGAGTTCCTCTTAAACTGTTGTAGAAAATGAAACATGGAAGTCGAAAAATGGCTGGACCATTTTCCATGGTATGAGGAGAGGACGATTTTCGAAGTGAGGATACTTTTGTTCTCGAATTCAAATGCGTGTAAAAGCTAAAAGAAATTGAAAAACTTTTTCCTCAACTGAATACAGTATTGAAGATTGAAATTTTCTCTTTACATATTCGCTGTATGATTTTCATTTTTTACCACTTTTTTGCATGTACATGTAGATACATAATTTTCCATGGAATTCTTATAATGCGCATCACTGTACTCTATAATTGCATCATTAGTAGGTTTTGTACGTGTGATACAATTGCATGCACAATTTCGTCGAAGAATATATTGAATTTAAATACAGAAATCGATTTGCCACCGGTCTTTATCAACTATTGTGATACGGTGATCACGTGTTGGCAAACTGCGACGCATGATTTCGTCACGTCCTCACGTTCGAGCCTTGTCAGCTAAATTAAAATGAATGGCGTATCGCGAAATCGAATTCCATGACGAACCACCTGTCCGATCGAATCATGCTTCTCGTTGCGATAATAACGAGCTTTTTCGAACGGTGATCGTCGGTATTTTAAATTCTATAAATTCGACGTAGTGCTCGGTAAATATTTGTCAAAATGACAATTAAAAACGTAACTGAATATATATTCACTTCGACATATAATAATCTAACAGCTCTAACTGTAAGTATATACATAGCGTGTACTGTTGTATACTAATTTTTTTAGACAAATTTTTCCTAGTTAGTTCATGTTTTACACGACGATGAAACTTATTCACAAAATTTCTTTCGAAATTGTCTTTCTAAAAATTGCCCGAAGATCTCGCGAAAAAAATAATCTGTCACCGAAGGGCATTAACTATATTTGCCCCCTTCTGTGTTTCATGCTCTATGTACTCCCCGTGCGTATGTACATACGTATGTTCCGTACGCCTGGTTCCGGTTGCCAATTCAACGCGCAATTATCTTAACATTACGCGCGTCAACCGTTCAATTGTTGCAATCGTGGCCGTTTCTCGCTTGATACCCGGTGCGAGCGACACACGTGACACACTTTTAATCGGATTGAATCGCGATGCACCAATTAGCTGCACGGGGCCGCTCGCGATTCACTCGAGCCTCTAAACTCGATCAACGTCGTTTCGTTTCAGACGCCGGACCGTGCGGACATACTCGCTCCCCTTCTTTCGCTTCTTCTGTTCGAAGAATGTCCTCGATTTTACCCCGCGTGTTTGATTACGAAACGCACTAGTCCGGGGCACCGCAATCGCCGCGTATTTTTCGTTCTACAAAAAGAAGAAGTTATGCGGGAATTGGAATTCGTTTGCAAGTCTCATTGATCGTGACATACATTTGTCACCGCTGTTATTTCCGATTTCTGAGACGCGATATGTTGGGCTAGGTCTCTCGGCTCGGTTTGCCAGTGAATGCCGGATATTCTTACCAAACACAGTCGTCCTGTATTTAATTACCTTTCTCCTTGACGATAATAGAAAGAGTCGTTGCGTTGTCGATTATCCGTCGTTTTTCGAACGAAATGTTTATAACGTTAATTCCGTGTTAATTACGCGCACTAAATAAATAATTGCATAAGAATTTTATTAAAATATTAAAATTGTATAACTTTGAATATTAAAATTATAGCGACAATTAAACTTAATTATATATTAATGTTAAAATTGTACAAAGTAAATGATTATACGAAGCTAAATATTAATCTATGGTTTCTTTTTAACCGTTTGCGCTGGCAGCTGACTGCGGACCATAACGAGTGACCAAACGAGTGTACAATATATTCGTCGCTTTCTTTTTGGACTCGCCGGGTATGATATCACTGCAGATAGAAATTATTGAGAAGCAATAAACTTATTATTATTATTTGTTTTGCCTGGATTATACTTAGACACACTCAAAACTGAGAGAATATTGCAATTTTGGGAGAAAAAATTCATGACGTGCGTGGCACATTATTCCAGCGCAAGAGGTTAAGAATAAGAAAAAGTCATTATACAGTAATTGTCCGTATTTTTTTCGAAAGAAATGTTTATACTTAACTCCGTATGTAAATAAATTATACGAAACTAAATATATTAATTAATAAATAAGCTGAATATTAATTAATAAATAAACTGAATAAATCAATGTGAAATAAATAAATTATGTAAAACTAAATGTGAAGTCTGTTGTAACCGATACAATATCGACGTCACTGATTCTCTCGTGGTAGAATTTATTTTTGAATAGACCTAGTGAACAACGTTAGGAAGACTAATTAGTCGAACAATTTGGCAAACGATTTCGACTACAATGGAATCCAATGTCGGTTAGATTAAATTCTTAGTAGATGTTTTTGGTTACAGCCTTCGAGCAAGGAACAAACCCGGTTGAATCATAATTCGAGCCACAAGGAGCACCGAAGGCAGAAGGATGCTTCGTCGAGCAGCACCTATAGTGCCTTCCGGCAATGGCGTAGGGGCACGTCTATGGGCTCAAATCGGTCGAACAGTGTCGGATCGAGCTCGACCGGGGCCCTCACCAAATTGCCTAATGATTCAGCGACCATGCAAAAAATGGAACAATTCCCACTGGTTCTTTCCGACACCACTATGCCCGAAGAGGATCTTTCGCTGAAATATCTAGCACTGGTACTCGTCCTTTCGTCTTTTAAACGTCTTCGACCGATGCACGGATTTTTAATAAATTTTCAATTAAAAGAAACAATGAAATCTGCCGCAATTAGTTTCAATCGACTTCAAATCAAAATAAAGTTTTAGCACGGAATAATATGTAATATATTTGTCATTAACCTCTTGCGCTGGGATCACGTGCATATTTGGCCCAAAATTTGCAATATTTTTTCAGTTTTAAGTATATTGAAATATAAACCAGGCGAAACAAACAATAAATTTATTACTTAGTAATTTCTATCCGGTGATATATCGATGAATTCGAAAAAGAAGACGAATTATTGTATACGGTTTGGTCACTCGTTATGGTCCGCGTACCAGTTACTAGCGCAAGAGGTTAACGTGTGACGTTGAGAAGAATTTTTTTCACCGGACAATTTGTAATGCGTAACAGTGTTAAAACGTAATTTTATTTAATTATTAGAAACTTCGTGTTGTTCGCGAACAGGAGAACTATAATTCTGCATTCCACTCGAACAATTAGTAATTTGTAAAAATTGCTTTGTTACTGCATTATCTATTGAAAAGATACACATAGCTAAAGTCCAATTTTCTTTCACATCTACACGTGTACTTTATCTGCTGTTAAGTATAGTTGCAAACAGATAAATTGTAAATATAGGTTATTGTTAGTAACAATTTGTTATCAGTGAAAATTTGCGTGTTACGTTATCTTTTTTTTTTTTTTTTTTTTTTTAAAACGTTTT